ACTATTTTTTTTCGACCGAAGTTACTTAATTATTATGGAGAAGAAAAAAAACTGAAAGAGCTATTTTTGTAACTTGTCTATAGTTATAAATATATATTCTCCAAGGTTAGCTGCCATTTGAAAATGAGAAATTCCTGTTTATGTAATATCTTTGCGTGAGTAGTATTACTATTTTTTTTCGAACGAAGTTACTTAACTATTATGGAGAAGAAAAAAAACTGAAAGAGCTATTTTTGTAAATTGTCTATAGTTATAAATATGTATTCTCCAAGGTTAGCTGCCATTTGAAAATGAGAAATTCCTGTTTATGTAAAATCTTTGCGCGAGTAGTATATACATCTTTATTACTATTTTTTTTCGAACGAAGTTACTTAACTATTATGGAGAAGAAAAAAAACTGAAAGAGCTATTTTTGTAAATTGTCTATAGTTATAAATATGTATTCTCCAAGGTTAGCTGCCATTTGAAAATGAGAAATTCCTGTTTATGTAAGATTGCGTGAGTAGTATATACATCTTTATTACTATTTTTTTTCGAACGAAGTTACTTAACTATTATGGAGAAGAAAAAAAACTGAAAGAGCTATTTTTGTAAATTGTCTATAGTTATAAATATGTATTTTTAGCATACATTCACGAGAAAATAAAATCCGTAAGCTTTAAAATATCAAAATTAAATAATAGCATTTAATATTATTAAAAGATTATAAATATTTACATTCTTCACACTTCGGTCCTTTAAACTTTTCCAAACAAGTGCAGAAGTATTTGTCCCCATCAGTTTTGCAAATGCCACCGTTTTTGCAAGGATTAAGGCTGCAAGGGTTTTCATCACCTGAGAAATACAATTAAAGTGTCTAATCTGGTAATAACACATCCATAAAATTAATTCAATTTAATTATCAAAAAGAGTTGAATTGGTTGGTCGGGTGGGTGACCACTTGGATCAGTCTGGGTAGGGACCGAGGGTGTGTTCGTATCAACCAGTCACAGATGGGGTTCGAATCAGGTTCACCTCAATAGGAGAGGTGAACGATCTATTCCTGAGCCACCGCGGCTCTGTTAAAGCATTTTTTATTTTCATATCGCTTTGAACAGCTGATCTAATTCTGATTTTACAACTATCAATGTTCAACTCCGTGGCCTGGTAATTTTATACCTAACCCAGAAGACAAGGAAACTCCTAGATCTAGCGTTCGTGGAGGACCTTTTAATTGTACTAACCTGTATTTGCGTTACTCGAAAACCTCCCACAGGTAGCCCGATAGCAAGGTGATTCTAACTCATGATCCTTCAACCACTAAGAATATTTTACGTCAGCACTGTGATCTGTGCAAGCCGGGAGCAGAATTCGTTTCAACCAGCGACCGCTGGGATTCGAAGCTGGGTTACCTTATTGGGAGGCGAACGCTCTATCCTTAGTACCACAGTGGCTCCGTGAAATTTTATTTTATTTTCTAACCTTCGTTGAATAGCCAACCCAATGTTTCTGGGTTTACGACTACTAATGCTCATCTCCATAGCTTTATAATTTTGAACCTAACCCAGAAGACTAGGAAACTCCAAAGCAAGTATTGGGAAAAATTTGCTTTCACGGTGAACTTTTTGAGGGAACTAACCCGCATTTGCATTACATGGATCAAACAATTAAAGAATCTGATGTAAGGGACTAAGAGTAACACATTTACGCAGATACATTTATTTAATGTCAACAAATAGAAATGTATTAATTACGCTTTTCACAGGTAGGTCCTCTAAAGCCTTCTATGCAAACATACCCTCTAACAACAACTGCGGAAGTTCTCAGAAAACAAATTTCCTAGTTTTAGCTAAGGTAATATGTTAATATTTTAACAAATTTGATTTAAAACAGTTCAATTGTTCTTAACAAGTATTTAATAAAGTATTCGACATTATTCACGGTCCGTTCTTCTGAAGTTTTCAAAGCCAGTACTAGAGTATTTATCTCATGCAGAACTATGCATGTCATTATTTTTGCAGAGTTTCGGACTGCAATGATTTTTAATTTCTATAAATAGCAAGTGAGGAATCTGTTTTGAAGGACTGTCAGTAATATGTTCTTTCTTCAGTCTGTTCTTTTGTTGACTCTAAACCATCCAACCGAGAACGATGAAACTTGGCATACAGAAAGTTCGAAGCACAAGGAAAGGTCACCCTCGACATTAGAAGGATGAGTGAAATACGAAAAGGAATTATTATTTTTTTTTTTTGGTTACGCCAGATACCCCTCAGAGGTATTAATTTTTTATGGGAACTTTGAGGACGTAGTGACCCCGACATATTTAGCTACACCAGTCACCAGTTAGTTCACGGGGAGTCTTCGACCGACGGGGAGAGAACTCACAACTTCTTGATGGGGGCTAAACGCCCTACCAACCACGCTACCTCGGCCCTGTGTACCACTGGTATTATGGTAATTGAGGCAATTTTGATAAGAATTCTACAACGAGTTTTTCTGATTTTCAAGAAATATTTTTTCTAGTGGAAGTAGAGATAATATATTAATATTTTCATGTATTAGAATTAAAAGAACTTTCTACCGCCACTACCTATAAATATTTTAAACGATAAATTAAAGATCAGATAGAGTAATCATCCTACTCTAAAGGCCTTGTCTTAGTCTTCTATTCTATTGTTCTATTCTAAAAATTCTATTTGTTTTGAAAATTTCGGCTTTAATTTGCGGCCACTGATTAATGTATTTCGTTTGAAATGTAAATACCAAATATACAAGTATAAAGTATTATATTGACATGTATTATATAGTATTTGAAGATTATTAATACTGCTAATATTGTCACTGTCGAAATAAGTGTCTTACGACTCCTCGAAAGAAATATATACCGAAAAAAGCTACTTGATAATGATAAATTTTGACTATCATGATTTGGCAACGAGCAATAGCATCAGGTCAAGTGATGCTAAATAAAATTAATCTCTATTCTAATGGAATGAACTACAAAAATCGAGTTTCACTTAATTTTCCTAAATGAACAAATAATAAATTAAAAATTTAAGAAAAAATTGAAAATATTTTAGCTTTATTAAATTAACCAGGAAAGTGACTTTTTCAGAGAGACTATTGTCAGGGTACGTAAAAAAGTAGTATTTAATTTATTTTATTACCAATGTATTAGAAAGCGAGACTAATAATTTTTTGCCTTTTTTTATTTACCACTGCCTAATTTACAATGAAAATCATGCAAGCAGACAAAAAACTAATGTGGATTAGTTATGTTAAGATTAAAGTGAAAGCAAAACAAATTCTGTTACATTAAACATACCCATATATATATATACACAACCACTTTATGTTATTTCCTTTGATTCATTAATTTCCGTAAAAATGTTACTTACGTGGTTCTTCCACTAAACTCTTCAATTGTGAAGCTATGAACCTTTCAGCTTTGAGCAAATCGGAGTGTTGCTCCATTCAGATTTATTGATTCGTTTCTTTTCTTTTAGTCATTCACTCTAAGCAAAGTACGGGTAATCGGCTAGCACATTCATAAAATTATTATCAATTCCTTTTAATAAGTTTAAAATGTGCTGTTTACCTTTTTCACAGTTAGTTCCTCTAAACCTTTGTACGCATGTGCAAGAATATTTATCTCCATCAGAACTACATTTGCCATTATTTTTGCAGGGATTCGGACTGCAACGATCTTGAATTTCTGCAAAAAGCAAGTAAATAATTTGATATGAGGTACTGTCAGTGATACATTTAACCCATGCATAAAATTACTCCCAATTGCTTATAATAAGTAGAGCATTCTTTACCTTCTTCACAGTTAATTCCTCTAAAGTTTTGTGCGCATATGCAAGAATATTTATCTCCTTCAGAACTGCATTTGCCATTATTTTTGCAGGGATTCGGATTGCAACGATCTTGAATTTCTGCAAAAAGCAAGTAAATAATCTGATATGAGGTACTGTCAGTGCCACATTATACACGCATAAAATTATTCTCAATTGCTTATAATAAGTATAGTATTGTTTACCTTCTTCACAGTGAGTTCCTCTAAAGTTTCCTTTGCATATACACGAATATTTATCTCCATCAGAACTGCATTTGCCATTATTTTTGCAGGGATTCGGATTGCAACGATCTTGAATTTCTGCAAAAAGCAAGTAAATAATCCAATATGGGGTACTGTCAGTGATACATTATGCATGCATAAAATTATTCTCAATTTCTTATAATAAGTATAGTATTGTTTACCTTCTTCACAGTTAATTCCTCTGAAGTTTTGTACGCATGTGCAAGAATATTTTTCTCCTTCAGAACTACAAATGCCATTATTTTTGCAGGGATTCGAAATACAGTGATCAGAAATTTCTGCAAAAAGCAAGTATATAATCTGATATGAAAGAGTATCAGTAATATATTATACATTTATTAAATTATTCCTCATTGCTTAATAAGTGTGGTATTGTTTACCTTCTTCACAGATAGTTCCTCTAAAATTTCCTTTGCAAATACACGAATATTTATCTCCATCAGAACTGCATTTGCCATTATTTTTGCAGGGATTCGGATTGCAACGATCTTGAATTTCTGCAAAAATCCAGTAAATAATCTAATATAGGATACATTATACAGTGATACATTATACATGCATAAAATTATTCTCAATTGCTTATAATAAGTATAGTATTGTTTACCTTCTTCACAGTTAGTTCCTCTAAAGTTTCCTTTGCATATACACGAATATTTATCTCCATCAGAACTGCATTTGCCATTATTTCTGCAGGGATTTGAATTGCAACGATCTTGAATTTCTGTAAAAAGCAAGTAAATAATCTGATATGAGGTACTGTCAGTGATACATTATACATGCATAAAATTATTCTCAATTTCTTATAATAAGTATAGTATTGTTTACCTTCCCCTTAGGAAAATTTGCCATAGAGAAGCCGATGGTAATCTATGGCAACCTATGGCTACCATGGAAATTTGTATGGCAAGATACCATACGCCTAAGGTTACCATAGAGATTTGTATGGCAAAACCCCATAAGCTTATGGCTACCATAGAAATTTGTATAGCAAGATACCATAGGCCAATGGTAACCATAGAGACCTGTGTGGCATTTATATGGTATTATACCGATTTTTCTACATATTATATTAGTATTATACCGATTTTTCTACATACTTAATTATTTTTTATCTCTCATAGGACCCTCTATGGGCCGAAACGAATGTTGCCCCCTGAAATTATTCTTCATAAGGCATACATCCTACTAGTTTATTTCAAAATTGACGAGTCACACTTCCCTAGTTTTCCTTATAAGCTAAAAATTAAAGACTACTAAAACAATAAAATACTATAAAAACTAAAAAGATAAAGAGTGGTCGAAGCGAAATTAGTTTAAAATAGACCAAACGGGACAAAAGCCGAATATGTAACGGTGCAACCAGTGGTGGCATGTGAACAAAATTTTATCTATAAAAAAGATGGTATTAGACTATGAAAAGCTCAGAATAGAAAACAGGCTAAATTAGTTGATCCCCTACTAGTGAGGGATATAAAACTCAGAAAATTTATGTTGAGTTCTGTTAAGCACAGTTAGAAAAGAGAACGCAATATAGAAACATTGGTAAATACAAAACATGTTTAAGACATGATTAAAATTGGAAAAATTAATAATTGCTATTGACAAATTGACACTTGGTCAGGGATAGTAAATAAAAATTAATTGGGTATAGGGAATCGCTGTGACGAAAAAATTGTTAACTTAAGGAAAGATTAAATTGTAAGCATTTTTGGTAACAGAAGTAGATGATATGGCCAGGGACTGTCCCGTTGATGATATTGAAGCAAAACAATTGTCAACCAGTAATCCAGCAAATCTAGTTAAGTGATGACTAGGACTAGGTGATATAAGAAATTTTATATTGTGATGCATCGTCAGTTTTGCATCGCGATTCGGCGATGTATCGCGATATAGTATTTTTGAATTTCATTTACTTGTAAGGCGCAGAAAGTCGGATTTCTATCAAAACTTCATACTCAGATTGATTTAAATCAATTTATGAATTTGAAGATTTATGCTTTGCTTAAGCAAGATATTAATGTTATATTTTATATATCGATTTATAGCCCAGTCCTAGTGATGACCCTAAGCTATATATAAATATGTAACAGAACATTGTACAAATATATGTGGATACTTAAGAAATATTAGTTGTAAGATAGTAAAACACAGAGACATGATAAATAAACAATTTAATGGCAAGCAAAAATTAAACACAAAATATAAATATAAAGCCCTAACATATGTAAGATAATGTAAAAAAGCATTGCAAGAACCTAAGTGGAATTAAAATAAAAAACTAATGAGAATGTAAACACTGACTTGATATATGACTAACACTATTGATATATGACAGCAATAAAATGAAATTGTCACCGAACAAGTTAAAAGAATTAAAAATTCTTAATTATTAAAGAAATGATGGATCTGGCTGATGATAAGCACTTAACTGCGTTTTTCATCGTGAAGATTGTTTACAAATTGCTATGGGGAATAGAACACCATTAATAATGGAAAAGTGATGCGACTTTAAAAATTTATATAAAAGGGGGAGGGGATAAAATAAAAACAAAGATGTCGTTTAGTCAGAAACAGTTGGGAGAAAGAAATATAAAAATTTTAGATAAAAATATAACAGCAAGAAATTAATTAAAGTGTACAAAGTCAGTGTGAACAAATGGCAAAATTTAACATAGCGAAAACCTATACCCAATCGCGACATATTTTGAAAAGATACAGATAATAAAAGTACCAGACAACCGGAAATTAAAAACTTAATAAATTCAGATAGATAATCGTATAGGCGTTTGCAAAAGAATGTTTTTGACCAAGAATGAGATCGAAAAAATATTAAAATAAGTAGCCAAAGTTAGAGAAAGATCCCACTTGTAGTGGATGACACGTTAATATGGCGGTCTGATATTCTCAGACTAGATCAATGGAACATCGGATTTCAAACTCTTAAAAATGGAAAAATTGGCCTTCCGGAGGCCGGAAAAGACTCACCAGGAATGCCTTGTGGGATTACATGTTGAATTTAATTTACTTTGGGCTGAAAAAATGGATATTTATTTCTTTTAGAATATGTTTTTGAGGACTCCATAGGAGATGTTGTTTCGTTGGTGGGGAACTAGATCAGCTTTTCCCTATGGTATACTGCCCTACAAATTTTTATGTTTACCATTGGCCTATGGTATCTTGCCATGCAAATTTCTATGGTAGCCATAGGCTTATGGGGTTGTGCCATACAAATCTCTATGGTAACCATAGGCGTATGGTATCTTGCCATACAAATTTCTATGGTAGCCATAGGTTGCCATAGATTATCATAGGCTTCTCTATGGCAAATTTTCCTAAGGGAAGTATAGCATTGTTTACCTTCTTCACAGTTAGTTCCTCTAAAGTTTCCTTTGCATGTACACGAATATTTATCTTCATCAAAACTGCATTTACCATTATTTTTGCAGGGATTCGGATTGCAACGATCTTGAATTTCTGCAAAAAGCAAGTAAATAATCTGATATGAGGTAATGTCAGTGGTACATTATACATACATAAAATTATTCTCAGTTGCTTATAATAAGTATAATACTGTTTACCTTCTTCACAGTTAGTTCCTCTAAAGTTTCCTTTGCATATACACGAATATTTATCTTCATCAGAACTGCATTTGCCATTATTTTTGCAGGGATTCGGATTGCAACGATCTTGAATTTCTGCAAAAAGCAAGTGTCAGTGATAAATTATGCATACATAAAATTACTCCCAATTACTTCTAATAAGTACAGCATTGTTTACCTTCTTCACAGTTAATTCCTCTGAAGTTTTGTAAGCATGTGCAAGAATATTTTTCTCCTTCAGAACTACAAATGCCATTATTTTTGCAAGGATTCGAAATACAGTGATCAGGAATTTCTGCAAAAAGCAAGTAAATAATCTGATATGAAGGAGTATCAGTAATATATTATACACTTATTAAATTATTCTTAATTGCTTTTAATAAGTGTGGTATTGTTTACCTTCTTCACAGTTAGTTCCTCTAAAGTTTCCCATGCATGTACAAAAATATTTATCTCTTTCAGAACTACAAATGCCATTATTTTTGCAGGAATTATGAATGCAATGATCATTTTCAGCAAAAAAAAGCAAGTAATTATTCTAATATGAATACTAGTATAATAATAGGGACTGTCTAATATGAGTAATTATTCTGACATTATATATTCACAAAATTATCTACGATTTTCGTTAAGAAGTCAACTTAAATCTTTGGGTAATGGTTGAAGCGCGTGTGTTGTTTTTGTGTCAACTCCATTTTTTCATTTATGATTTCCAGCATCTCACAACTACTTCAACAATTTTTATTTTAATTATCAAATTATTTTATTTAATCTCCTTAAAAAATAAATAAATAGTGACGGATTATTTTAAACAACATTCTTTTTAAGTAAATACCTTGCGGAAACAGCATAATAAGAAATTTGCGGGCAAATAATGTTGTTTTCCTTCGCATAAGGTAAATACTCGATGGTTTTCGGTTACAAATATGCAACAAGAATCATTTAATTAACAAGGTAACTATAGTTTTTCTTTTATGAAATCTAATTAAATAATTTTGATATTTTTTCCTCTTTCGAGATTACTGATGCCTTGAGCAATCAAAACTTAGACGGATGTTTTCTTGAATTCAGTTTCGTATTTCAACCAAAGTGAAAATTCAAATCAGAGGAAATAAGTTCCAATTGAATTATAAAACCGATTGTTGGTTTTTAGTATAAAACAATTACACCACTTTAATTGGAATCAAAATTACTCATCCAATAAAAAAAAATAAAAATAATGAGAAAAAATAGTTTCATAGGAGTGGTTCTGAAGAACTCTTAAATAAATAGAAAAAAAAATACTTACTGCAATTTTCGAGGTAAACAATTCCATCCAAGGGACAAATGCACGTGTAAGTGTTTTTCTCTTCTAAAGGAACACAAGTTCCTTTTCCACAAGGATTTGGAACACAAGGATCGTTTTCTGAGAAAAGAAACAAAAATTACCTCTAGAATGGGATAATCATCCTAACACAACAAGGTGTCTGAACTGTTATTAAAATACCTCAAATTTGAAATTAGTGTTAGAGGAAATCTAGAAGACGAGAGTACCCAAATTTTAACAATAACGCTCTTCTGAACAATTGTTCTTCCTTGATTCTAGGCGATAAAAAATATTAAAACTCAATTCTTTCTCAATTATTATTTCTTTATTTTTAATAGTTTGTTTGCGAACACTATAAACTAAAATAGCTAAGTCTAATCGAAGTAATAGTTAAGTCTAATCGAGGATTAAGGAATGGAGATTGGCGAACTTGATTTCTGCAGTTCAGAGTGTTCCCTTCTATTAATCCAATAACCTTTTGGGGAACTGTCACCAAGTATCACAAGAAACAAATTACTTGCCTTGTTTTCTCTATCAAGAAAAATCCTGACACAAATATTAATCTTTATTATTATATATTAATCTCTCTGCATTTCCGGCGAAATTAAATTCCTAATGCACTTTAGCATCCAAATAAGAGTCTCGGTACTGCCATCTAGTGTGGCAGAAACTAGACGTCCAAATTAACATGGTCAACGGTATCTCACCATTTGTGGTGGTCCTGAAAGAGTGGACACCACTTCTAGAGAACGCACTAGGTCTGCTCATCGGGAAGACTGGTTGTGCAGCTCATAGGAAATAAAAATATATTAATCTTTATAATCAAAGCACCATAAACAGCGAATTAAACGTTTATAAGGAGTGTAAAAGAGTTGAAATGAGATAATATTATCACAATTTACTATTCACATAATGACGAATAATCAAAATATGAAGCCGTTACAATAATCTATGCTCTACGGCAACGATTCTCAAATGGTGTTCCGTGGAACCCTAAGTTTTCGTGGAAGAGTTAAAAGGGTTCCGAGAGTTAGGAAGTTTTTTTTTTTTAACCCGCAATGATTTTGGAACTTTTAAATATATTTAAATTTAATCGATTAGCCATTACTAATTTAATATTTCGATTACCTTTGTAAAATTATTCAAACTAAAATGAAAAAAATGAGACTTTTTAAAAATAAAAAAAAAGAAATACGTAACATTTTTTTTAATAACATTATATTGGATTAGTTAGGAAAAAAACATGCATTTAAAAAAAATTGCTCTCGTATTTCCCACCAGGCTTATCAAACCAAACTAAATTTGCAAATAAAGAAATTGCATATTTCCTTAATAACCATTTTCAACATTTATTACACATCTTTTTAGTTTTCATTTCAAAGAAAAACGTAATTCAGCTCATTTTATTAGTTTTCAGCTTATGTATGTACAAAAAAAAAAGTTCTAGACAAATCTCTAGGAATACGAATTTAGCTGTAGGACATAAAATATAATTAAAGGTTATTAACGATAAAACGATATTAAAATAATAACGATAAAAAAAATTCATTCGTCTTATTTTTTTTAATTTTTATAACTGTCGTTGAACAGCCGACCCAATATTTGGGTTTACGACTACTAATGTTCAACTACGTAGCCTTGTAATTTTGAACCCAATCCAGAAGACAAGGGAACTCCTGGATCAAGTATTGGGGGAAATTTGCCTTCGTGGAGTACTTTTTGATGGAACTAACCAGCATTTGCGGTACATGGAAAGGAAGACTACGAAAACCTCCCACGGTTAGCCTATCGGCAAGGGGACTCTAATCCATGATCCGTCTACCACTGAGGATATTTCACGTCAGCACTGTGGTCGGTGCAAACCGGATGTGGAATTCATATCTACTGGGATTCAAACCCGGTTCACCTCATTGGAAGGCGAACGCTCTATACCCTGAGCCATCGCGGCTACCTATCGTCTTATTAAATAATCTTAAAATAAAATATTATATAGTTGTTGAATAAGTTCGCAATTAACTTATATACTTTTTTTTAAAATAAAATTGGGTGTCCGCCTTAAAAAGTTTCATCATTTAGGATTCCATTGCCGAAAGCAGTTGGGAACGTTGCTCTACAGCAGTGTTTCCCAAAGTGGTCCCTATGGACCCCCAAGGGTCCGTGGTACCATTCAGGAGGTCCATGAAAAACAAAAACTGATTTAGGGGTCCCTGAACAACGTCAAGGGGTCCGCGCTAGGCTTAATATAAAATAATAAAATTGTGATTGGTTTTTATTATTATGGAAATTAAGATAAATGAAATAGTAGCGATTTTTACGTCCTAAGTAAGCTATAAATAAAGGTGGATGCTTATAATTATTAACAGTTGTTTGTTACAAATTAAACAGTTGATTTAGAAATTTTTTTATATCTTTTGTTCCTTTTTTAAGAGATAACAGTATGAATGAGTCGAAGAAAACGCCGAAAATACAGCGTTGAATACTTGAAGTATGTCTTTATCTCTTCACCAAAAAATATTACTTTACCTATGTGTCTTCTATGCAATAAAACTATAACAAGTGATTCAATGAAACATTCCAAGCTTAACGAACAATTGATAAAAATCCATGGTGACAAAAAGATAAGGATTTAACTATTTTTCAAACAGTCAAAGAAAAATATCTGAAAACACCGTCACTGTAACAACTTATAGGGACAACATCTAAGCGAGGTGACGATGGATTGCATGCTTCTCATAGTTCCGCATGTTTTTATATATTACATGATTGCGAAGTCCGGAAAGCCTCACACTATTGAAGAACTTATTTTACTGCTGTAAGTGAGATAATACTCATCGGGTTGCACAAACCAGCTTTTGACATTGTAAAAAGAATTCCACGAAGTAATAATAATGTACAAAGAATGAAGGATCGACTAAATATCTCAGTGCGTAGAAAATTCTTTACGTGAATACTTAAAAATATCTGAATTTTCTATACAGCTTGACGAGTCCACTTATCCAGGAAACGAAGCTGTTACTTTTAGCTTATGTAAGATTTGTGAAAGAATAAAAATTTTACCAAGAATAGTTATTTGCTAAATGTTTGGAAAGTGATACGAAGGGTGAAAGGCTATTGACTGAATTAAAAGCTATACCCTTGACTAATATCATTTCTATAGCTACTGACGGTGCTCCGGCAGTGGTAGGAAGATACCGAGGTTTTCTGGCTAACTTAAAACAAGCTGCAGCAATTGTATTTTCAGTACATTTGCCAAACTTAACGAAACTAATTTGAAACTACAAGATGACCAATTAAATTTAATCAAAACTAAAATCGTAAAACTGCGTTTGTTGCATAACTTTTTCTGTATAAGCAAAACTTGGGAAGAGTATATTGTTCTCTCAGTTTCAGTGCCCTAATAAACCTCATCACAAAAAAATAAAAAATAAAAAAAAAAATAAAAGAATTACAAATTAGTGCTTACAAACATTGAGCCAGGCATAAATACACTCTTAAAATCTCATCACGTTCATCCAAGCCATTAATTTATTTTATTTTATTTTAAACAAAAGATATAATTTCAATAAATAGTTCTTCAACAAAATGTTTATTTTTTTAATTTGCAATTTTTATACCGAACATATACGCAATTTTTCACTTGGGGGTCTGTGGGCAAGTTTTGACTATAAAAAAGGGTCTATGGGTCAAAAAAGTTTGGGAACCACTGCTCTACAGTGTTGCTGGAGCAGGAAAAGTAGCTAATGTGAGCTAAAAAGTATAGTTGATATGAACGTTTGAACATTTTGTAGCCCAAGTTAAAAATGAATAAATTAGCTCACTGTATAAGTTTATTTACAACGCCTTTTTTATTTTTATTTATTTATTTTGAAAAAGACTATCTTTTTTAAGTTTGAATATCGGAGCTTAAACGGTAAAGGCATAAAAATGTCTCCTTCATATAACAACATATATCGATATTTTTGCACAATCTTAGAAGCTCTAGAAAAATCAGTTAAAAAAAACTTGTCTTTTAGTGACAGTCATAAATGTTTAGAACCTAATTTTTATAACAATATAAATTTAAATTTACGTTCTTCACAGGTGGTTCCCTTAAACTTTTGAGTACAGGTACAGAAGTATTCATCTCCGTCAGAACTACAATTACCACCATTTTGACATGGATTTTGACTGCAAGGATCATTAACTCCTAAAAACAATTAAAGGATCACATAAAAGGGATTTATAAAAAGCATTCAGAAAAATATTCCAAAATAATTTTAACAAATATTAATGCTTACGTTTTTCACAAGTAGGACCTCTGAAGTTTTCCGTGCAGTTACAAAAGTAGTTCTCGCCATCAGAACTACAATTACCATCATTTTTACACGGATTTTGACTGCAAGGATCCTTAGCTACAGGGAAAAGTAAAGAAAGAATCTGATGTAATTGACCTAAAGTAATGCATTCATAAAAATCAATTTGATTTTGATAAAAATCAAAAGCAACTATGACAATTTTTACAAATTAGGTTTTCTACAGTTTTTTATACACTAAAAAGTATTTATCTTCATCTGTACCACAATTGCCTTTATATTTTTACTAACGGATTTTTATTAAATCCAATTCACACTATTGCTGGATTGTGACGCCTCATCCACTATTCATCATCATCTATTCATCTTTGACTTAAGGTTAAATTTTTAATGTGTGTTTTCGTGATTTTTTTTGTACTTAGTAAACTTCTGGTTATTATTGTATTACAAGACAGCACAATACCTTTCAAAAAACAAAAAAAAAGTAGAAGATAAAGGGCTCCTCTCTCAATTAGATTAGGAGAAATAAGACTTGTTAATTTTTAGAACTTGTTTGAATTTTTCCTCAAAATTTTACACAAACAAAATGATGCATTTCATGGTTTTGAGTAAATAATTTAAAACTACACGTTTTTCAGCTTTCATATTTTTTTTTCTTTCGAAATCTAGTTTTATTACTAGTGTTAACTGATAAAAAACGGATTTCGTTGACGCTAAAAAAATGTTTAAGTTTAACTGCATGAAAACAAAGATACTTATCAGAAATCTAAAATCACGCAACTGTATACTATATAACTATCAAAAACTGTTGATGGCAGAATCGTATTGGGCATAATTTTGTCACAAAAATTTAATAGAGAATCTAAATAACCGCATGCCTCACATCTGAAATTGTGATAAGTTGGCAACCACTGGCATGCATAGGTAGCTACTTCCGAATAGAGTAAATGCGCAATTCAAAATTTTTGATGGTTTTCCATTGATGGATCAACATAGGATTGATGGTAACTCTCAATCATTCTCTCGTGAACCATTATATTTTTTGATGGTAACCAACATAAGTAACCATCACATCAAGGTAGCAACTGACTTATGATGTCCAACAGCAATTTATTTTGAGGGTTTGTTCCTGTTTAACCATCATGAATTTCCATCATAGCAATCCAATATCAAAAATCAAATGTTGGAATGATCATGAACAACCATCATCCCAATGTAGGAATTCGGACTGGTTTTTGATGGTCCCACATAAAAAAAATTGTTTTAACGGTATATTCTTGAGAACTAACAAGAATTCCCATTAAATCATCATGGAAATGAATAGTTGGAACCATCATGAATCATCGCGGATCATTATGGATTGGTGGTTCATGAGAGTAAAACTTCTATTGATGGTTAATCATTATAGTATTAAAGTAGCATTTTCCATTGTGGAATGATGGAAGTTGGTGGGCATATCAAAAACCATGAAAACGTAATGGAAAATGTTGGATGATGGTAACCATCAAATGATATTGGACCATCATGAATAGGACTAAAACCAACTTGAACCATCAAAATGTTTTGATGGGACCATCAAAAATTTTGACTTGAATATCCATTTCCAGTTTATTTGAGAAAATTAAATAAAAATGATTAAAAGCATATTCAGAATTTCCTCTCTCCGCCTCTTCGATGTTCGTACGAAAGAGGAAGTGTCTTTTACGCATTAGTGCCCCTTTTCAGTTTATTTTAGGAAAATCACATTAATAAGGTTCCGACATAAAAATCCTTCTGAAACTATAAAAGAATATAATTACGAAATTATTTTATTACCTACTTATGTAATTATTAAGCAAAACTGTTTTCAATTTCTTTAATTCCATTTCAAATAGGTTAAAAAAAAAAAAAAACAATAAGCAGTTGTTTAATTTCAAAGAAGGGTCACCAACCTGTCTCCCATATAAATTTTATTATCTTTAAAAAAAAAAATTCCGGTTTGCAACAAATCATACAATCAATTAATTCAGCCATAATTTAAGTATCATTTATTTCATAACTTTGAATATTCTTCATTGTTTTAATAAGAAATTTTGATTTTTTTCTAAAAAGCTTAAGTAGCTTTAAATTTTTTTTAAAAAAAACACCAAATTTGAAGACGTTTAGTGTTTAATTAAAACCCATTATTTTGAAAATCGGACAAAAATCTGAAATTTTGATAATATTATTTTGTCATTGGCTTGATCTTGCATCTTTTGAAAGTTTGAATGGCTATATCAACTAAGCAGCAATGACGCAGGGTGAGAGAGTTTGCCCTAAAAGTGAATTTTATTATCGAATAAAAAAAAAATTTGAGGTGCTGTTGTTTGACCAAGATTTTCATGGTAGAAAAATGCCCAAAACTGATTTTTTTTTTCTCTAACTTTGACAATTAGAACTGAACTAACTTAGACTCTGAAAAGGAACAATGTTCCGATGGAAACGAGTGCATGGCCATAACTAGATGGTGATATACAAATAATATAGCGAAACAAAACTTTGGGAATATTGTTGCTTTAGATCAGTGTTTCCCAAAGTGTGGCACGCGTAGCCCCAGGGGTACTGAAACAGTTTAGCGGGGGTACGCGTTCTTAAGCAAAATATCTTCCAACAAACGAAAATTTCAAAATTTTTTATTTAAAAACAAAGCTAGTAATGAGAATTTATTTTTCTATTGGCTATTTTTTGCAGAGTTAACAGTCAATAATTAGTGGTGTCAACAGTCAGTTGTGATTTTTAACTTTTGTGCAATTTTTTTACAGTAAAAAATACATTAATTGTTTTTATTAGTGATACTCAGCGTTACGAAAAATTTAGAAAGGGTACACATAAGTTATAAATTTGGGAAACACTGCTTCAGATAAATCCCCTTAAACATACTTATACAAGGGTTGGACAAAATAATGGAAACGCTTCAATACTAAATTTCTTAATAATCTTTTTTGAAAAATACTTAAAATCACTTTATAGGCTTAGAAGTATTCAGGTTATACGATTTCCCAAAAATTATCAATGAAGTTTAATACTTTTAGAGGTTTGAGGGATTGACAATAAATTACAAACAGAAAAGAATGTTTTTGAGCAATCTATGCCAGAAAATGTAGCAATAAATTTGTAATTAGTGACAATTATTTTAGTTAGTATATGCAATAAGTGCACAAAATTTCATGAACCGAGCTTAAATATTTTTGAAAATATGGACGTTTTTATAAAAAAAAATTACGTTACGTCTTACGTTTTTTTTTTTTGTTGTTGTTGTTGTTGCTATAACTTTAAAAACAGTGAATAAAATTAAACAAAATTTTTCGAGAAATTTAAAATGAATTACAAAATTTTTGCTTTAAAATTTGAGAAAAATTTGTTTAAAACTGCTCAAGGTATGAGTAATTAAAGTAGTTCTTTTATACAACTTATGGGAGGGAAATATTCAAAAAGTTTTTTTTGTTGTTATTTTGTAGTAAATTGTATTAAACAACTATTAAACAACATTTATTAAAAATGACATCAGCATTGTTAGTAATCATCTCCCATGAAAGTATCTTTTCTTTCCTTATATAATGATCTTTCAGTGTATGAACGTTTATTGTATGGTATTATCATTTGTTATTTAATTTTGTCTTATGATACAAGATATTATTGGTAGAAAACCCCTTATCATTTTGAGCTTCTTCAAGAAAAAACTACTTAGAAAATTCCTTAAAACTTTTTAAATTTTTAAGATATTTTGAAATTTTAAGATATTTTTCGCTAGCTGTAAAATACGATTCTCAACAAAATTATGAAGAGAAAAAAATTTTTTTTAAAAATATTTTCCGTGCAGAAAAGAATTACTTTAATTACTTATATATTGCACAATTCTCATCGATTTATTTTCTTCAAATTTTAAAGCAAAATTTTTGTCATTTATTTTAAATTGCTCTAAAAATTTTGTTTCATTTTATTGAATATTTTTAAAGTTATAGCGAAAAAACGCAAGACAAAAAAAAAATTGTTTTTTATAAAAATGCTATAAATATTTAAGCCACGTTTACGAAATTTTGTGCAATTATTACATATAATAACAAAAATAATTGTAACAAGTTACAAAATTTTTGCTACATTTTTTGACATAGGGTGTTCAAAAGCACTATTTTCCGTTCGTAATTTACTGTCGGTCCCTCAAACCTCTAAAAGCATTGAACTATATTGTTATGTATGAAAAATCATATGATTCAAACCTTTCTGAAGTTATAAAATGATTCTTTAACACTAGATTGCCCAAGGAAGTCATTTTGACTGCTTTTTAATTTCAATTAGAAAAGCACTGATGACACAATTTCTTAGAATTTTGTGACTTTTCGTACAACATATAATTTTTTTTATTGTTAATATTTACTAATAACTTGTTATATAACTAAAAATAATATCAAAAATATTAAAAATTAATTTTACGCAAATTTCTTTATACATGAGTTATTCTTTCACAATGCAGTCATTTTGACCGCTTTTGGACAATATAGGTATTTTAGTCTTTCTAGGGTTAAGCATTTCTTGAAAAATATGAAAAAAATGTATCAGTATAGAATTGTTTCTTTCATTTTGTCCACCCCGTATTTCATTTTTGAAGAAATGATATTTGACAGTGAAATTTTCCATAGGGGAGGGAAAATTATTTTAAGAGCTCAAACTTACACATTATTCATTTTTCATAACCTACTTCAATATGAAAAAAAAATCAAGCCAATCGAAAACTGCAACTATCACACATTTTCTGAAGTTCAAAATAACGGCTCTTAATCATTAAAAAATGAAAATAATATTTTTAAAAACCACGTTTTTGTAGTGGAGAATAATAAATGAAAAACAAAAATTTGAAAAACGAAAAACGTGGGGCGCATGAAATACATAACAGTAACAGTATGTGCGCTCATGAGAATATGTGTATGTATATCTGTAATTGTATCTGAATGTGTATGTGTATGTGGTTGTGCATGTGTATGAGTAAGAAAATTTGTATATGTATGTGTATATGTACTGTTATGTATTTCATGCGCCTCACGTTTTTCGTTTTTAAAATTTTTTAATTATTATTCTCCACTACAAAAACGTGGTTTTTAAAAATTTTATTTTTATTTTTTGTACTCACTTCCAAAATCTCAATTTTTTCACTCACTGTATACAAAACTTTTCAACTGACATGTGGCACTAATTTAAAATAATCGAATCGACAACAAAAGACAATCGCGAAAATATTAATTTTTCTTTAAATTTTATTTTACTTTGTATGTCTTCTTTCTCTTCATTTTCTGTCATCCAATTCTGAACTATGTGCCAAATTTGAAATCTGTAGCTAGTCGGGAAGTTAGTTTAAAATCGATTACAAAATTCCACCCGAACAGACATACACGAAGGCAAGTTGATATAAACTTGGTAATATGCCCTTTGTAATGGTTTAACTGTAAAGAGAAGTTTACTTTTATTTATCCATCTTATGAAGTGAGCATATCATTACCCAATTCACAGGTTTCTCCATGAAATCCTTCCAAGCATGCACATTTATATTGACGATCCATCATTGGTTCACAAGTACCATTATTTTTGCAAGGGTTTGGAGAACAGTTTTCAGGAACTGAAATCATAAAATATTGAAATTGTATGAAATGGTATGATAATAACATTTAAAAATTTCAACAGGCAAGATCAATTTATGAAATATGAAATAAAAACTTTTCCCATAATTTTTTTTTCACATAGAATTAAAACATTTTTTTAATCAAATATATCCACCTTAAAGTTATATGGGCTTAAAATTGAGTCAAACGTATTGCAATGCATAAATATTTTCGGAAAAGTGTTAAAAAATTTTAATTTATAGTTTGTTTTGATTGGAGTAAGTTATATGTTAAAGGTTCTAACATAACAGAGGTTGAACAAAATAATGGAAACACTTCTATATGAACTCATTTTTTTTCCGGCTTTCTCAAGAAATACTAAGAGAATTATTTTAAAACTTTAGAAGTGTTTAATGTTTAGGATTTCGTATGCATATCAATAAAGTTTAAAGCTTTTAGAAGTTTGAGGGACCGGCAATAAATTACGAACGGCAAAGGTTGTTTTTGAACACTCTATACTAAACAGTATAGTCATAAGCTTGTAACTTAAGTCAATTGCGTTGGTTATTATATGCAATAATTACACAAAATTTTGTATTCCTAGCACCTAGCTTAAATATTCATGAAGATATGGACATTTTTCTAAAAAACTACTCTTTCAACTTACGTTTTCTTACTAACTGCTGAAATATTAAAAAAAAATTAACAAAATTAGATTAATTTTAATTAATAATAAAAATATCATTTAGAATTTTGAAAAAAAAATTCGTTAAAATTGAGCAAGATATGAGCATTTAAAGTATTTCTTTTATACTGTCTAAGCTATAAAGAAAAACATTTAAAAAAAAAATATTTTTTTATAAATTTGTTTTGAATTGTGTTTGATAACTTCTAAAAAAATTCCAATTTGAATATCTTCAAAATGTAAAAAGTTTCTGGCAAATTTTTAAGTAGTTTTTGTTAATGAGGAAGGAGAGCTCTGAATGGTAAGGGGTTATCCTCAAATTTAATTTTCTACTATTAAACAAGATTTATTAAAAATGACATCATTATACAGGACCACACCTGTTAAATTATGTTTTATTCCTATTACCATCACATCTCGTTGTCAGGACCATCATTTTAGGGTATTATCATTTGTTATTCAATTTCGTTTTACATTACACAATTCTATTTGTGAAAAACCCCTTATTTAGAACTTTCATTAAAAAAATTAAAAAAATACAAAACCTACTTAGAAATTTGCTAGAAACGTTTTACATTTTCAAGATATTCAAATTAGACTTTTTTCACAAGTAACCAAATAAGATTCTGGACAAAATTATGAAAAATATTTTGAAAATATTTTCCGCGTATGCGCAGTATGAAAGGATTGCTTTAAATGGTTATATATTGCGCAATTTTTTTTTAGCGAATTTTTCAAATTTTGAAAGGCCATTTTTATTATTAATTAAAAAAATCAGTATGAAAATTTCTTTTAATTTTATTGAATATTTCAGCAGTTATAGTAAGAAAACGGAAGTCAAAAAATTATGGATATTTTTATAAAAATGTCCATACTTTCCATATAATGAATATATAAGCGAAGTTGACGAAATTTTGCGCAGTTATTGCAGGTAAATACCGTAATAAGCTTAAGCCTACGAGAATCCACCGACAACTATGAGAAATGGTTTAAGCCCATAACCCTTTCACGTTATTGTGTTGGGGAGAGAAGGGTGTGAACAATTTTCATAAATTTTTCAAACAAAAAAAAAAAGCTTACTAATCATTATTTTAAACATATCTTGTTTCCCCCCCACTAAAACGCAAACGTTTATCTTCATTTTGAATGATAAGATAAGCTAATTTGGATGAATAGCTTTTTAAATTGTTTGTGACATCATTTACTCCATGTCATTAGGCTAGTGTAGGTAGACACATCATAAAGCTTATTACTTAATCTACTGTTATTTATTAAAAAAATCCAAATGGTAAATCAAGTAAAATCTAAATTGAACTAATTTTAGCCTAAAAATATAATCTTAAGTGAATAATCTTAACCTTTATAATAATTATTGTTAATTACAATTATAATTGTCTTAATGTTAATGCTAACTATAATATAATACTTACACTAAAACTTTCCTAATTTTAAAGAATTTTTTTTTAACATTTAAAGTGCAAGCAACTATTTTCAATGCTCTTTGCTATTTCATTTCAGATATAATAAAACTGAGTTACAATTCGGCCACCACGGTATAGAAGAAATTAAAACAAATGTACCTGATAATAGTGCAGAAATTTTTTTAAGTATCGCCAAAATTGAAGAAAATTTGCTAACTTTAATTGTTATTACACGAGTACTTCTAATATTGCAAGAATTGTACAACTTCTGCTGCGGAAAATATTATATTACGGTTCCTATAAAATATCAATAGTGATAAGGAAAACAAGATAAAGTTTGATCATTCAATAGATTTTTGACCACCGCTATACGTGCTGTTTCCTATCACTATGCGCTGTTTCCTATCACTGGTCAAACCTGGCACGCCAGCCATTGCCTTTATGCAAATTAAGTCAGGAAAGTGCGCCATAAGAGAGCACCAGTAAGGGTGAAAGTATGTCTTAACTCAAAACTTTCCGGGTAAATGGCACGACCACTCATTCGTCAGGCCACTTCCACAAGCTTGAAATAGATCTGTAGAGGAAAGAAATTTTATTAAATCCCTGTATCCACGGTACTACTCAGTGACTGACCAGGGGACAGACAATACACAGACTTTACAAGCACAGGTATCGCAAGTACTCGAGGGTCTTAGAGAAGTCGAGAATCCAGACTGGACTCTCCGGACAGTCTGGATCATTGCCTTCCTATTCTTTAACTAGTAGGCTAGAACGGCTCTCACCTCTATATGTTATTTTGAATAAAGAAATATATCTATGTGAGAACTGTGAGCTATCGGACCTAGAAACTAAACGTTAAAGTGTTATCTTATAAATAAATTCCTGCTAGCATTAACGAAAGTTTACTAGTACTATAAGATTGGCCTACCAACAGTAACCCCACACTTATGTGAATTCATGAGTTTGTTTAAACTCATTATTGGTTAATCAAGAAAGGTGAATCGAAGGTGACTTTTAAAATATGTAATAAACATAGTCATTCATAGCCCTTTAAGAACAAACTTGCACATTGGTGCTGGTCAGATATGTATAAACTGTAAAAACGTGTGGGTACGATATTAAAATATCTTTCTCTTAGCGACCATTTTAATTTTCAAGTTATTCCAGCCTGGTATTTTTCTTTCCGGTAAAGAAAGTCCAGCAGTGGACTGATTGACACGGTGATAGTCCAGCAGTGATACACGGTTCGATCATCCTCAGTGATGCTTCCCAGACCGTCGCCAATAGCCCATTGTTCAGTTCTAGTTGACGTAAATAAAGTATCTTACCTACCTGTCTGGTAAGGAAATGGTTGCTAAAGGTTGACACAGTGAGTCAAGCAAAATTCCGAAGCTATAAATAAAGCATACTTACTACAATCTCCTTTGTATGAAAATCCATCTGAGGGACAAATGCACGTGTATTCATCATTTGAGATTTCAACACAAGTTCCTTTGCCACAACGGTTGGGATAACAAAGTGTGTTTTCTGAAAGAAGAAAACAAAAAACAACACTGATAATTCATAGATAAAAAGATAAAAATGTTCCGCATTGATCACAGCTAACTTAAATTTATATATATATATATATATATATATATGGCCACCGAATTCGTGCTGCCACGCTACCCCCTCGCAATGTGAGGGAATTGCAGGACCAGTTGGTGAGCGCTTGGTACCAGATACCTCAGACTACCTATCAGCACCTTGTGGAATCAATGTCACGGCGGGTACTACCAGTTGTAAGGGCTAAAGATGGTCTTACATGCTATTAGCAGGGTGGTCATAATGTAATAGCTCTTCGGTGTATATCTAACTGCATAATTTTATGCAGAATTTAAGATAATTAAAATGTGTGAAAATCTTACTCAAAAATTTTTGAGACTAAATATTTGTAAAATAATTACAATATTAAGCCAAATAAGTATCGTGTGTATTTCTTATTAATATGATCACTAACTGCCAATGGCAAATAAGTATCGTGGCAAATTTTTTTCAAGTCAAGCATTTTTACGTTCTATTGACCTCCTTCTCGAAGAAGGGAGCTGACCGTTTAAATGAACGGTCAACTTTAATAATTTTGCTGAAGTTCATTACAATTATGGTGATGATCTTTTTTTTCTCAAAGAAGGGAGCTGGCCGTATAAATTTCTGGCCATTTATCCGGATTTTGTGGAAATTTCTTAGAATGTATGTTTCAATGCTGAACTGATATTTGTGAAAGTAACTTTCAACGTTAAACTTATATTTCTATTCATTTAACTTAATTGTGTTTACTTTAATATCAGCTGAGATTACTACTATTAATTATAATAGAACAATACTGATAAGCAGAATTTATAACTAATGATTTGATAAATTATAATAATGATTCTTAAAAATACAGTAAAAAAATGTTAACAATTACATAAAAGGTTATTTTAGTTTTAAAATACGGACCAATTTTTCCATGTGCACTACCCTACAGTAATGGAAAAGACGCTTTCAGTTTTCGAATTTTTTTTAAATTTCTCAAGAAATACCTAAAGGATTATTTTGTAACTTTAGATGTTTTAGTTTATGCAGTTTTTCATACTTAGCAATAAGATTTAAAGTTTTCAGAGGTTTAGAAGACCTACAATTAATTACAAAAGAAAAAAGGCATTTTTGAGCACCCTATGCCAGAAAATCAAGAGCAAAAAACTTCTAACTTGCATCGATTACTTTAGTTGTTATTTTTAACAACTGCATAAAGTTTCGTAAACTTAGAGTAAATATTTGTGGAAATGTGGACCTTTTTATAAAAAATAAAATTTTTCGCCATACGTTTTCTTTGCCATAACTACATAAAGGTCAACTTATTATAAACAAAATTTTTGAAGAAATTTAAAATTAATTACGAAATTGTTAATTTAAAATTTTACAAAAAATCGTTAAAAGCTACTTAAGATCTGAGCATTTAAGCTAGTTCTATTATACTGCGCATGAGCAGAAATAATTTAAAAAGGTTCTTTCATAAGTTTGTAGGGATTTTGCACGATTATTGTAAGATATCATTTGTTGTTAAATTTTGTCTTATGAAACAAAATAAAATTTGTAAAAAGCCCATGATAATTTTGAACTTTTTTCTGAAAAGTACAAAAACTAGTTAAAGTTGCTTAAAATTTTTCCAAGTCTTAAGATCAAATTTTTAAGATCAAGTCAAATTTTTTAATTAGTTGAAAAATACGATTCACTACAAAATTAAGACAGAAATTTTTTAAAATTTTTTTAGTGCATGCATAGATGAAAGAACTAGCTTAAACACTAAAAACTTTTCTAGTTTCCCACGAAATTTTAAAGTTTTAAATCGACAATTTTGGAATTAATCTTATATTGCTCTTACTGCCATTGAATGTCTATAAAGTTATAACGAAAAAGCGTAAGGCGAAAAAATTTATTTTTTATAAAAATGTTCAGATCTGCATAAATATTTACTCTAGGTTTACAAAACTTTGCGCAGTTAGTAAAAATAACAGCTTAAGTATTCATTGCAAATTACAAGCTTATTGCTTAATTTTTTGGCATAGGGTGTTCAAAAATACGTGTTTTTTTTCGTAATTTATTGTACATCTCTAAAACCACTGAAAGCTTCAAATTTTATGGCTAAGTTTGAAAAGTCGCATGAGCTAAACATCTCTCAAGTTACAAAATAATCCTTTGAGTAATTCTTGAGAAGTTTAAAAAAAAGTCGAAAACTGAAAGTGTCTTTTCTATTGTTGTAGGGTTGAGTATTGTTCATTATATGACTTCTAAAGTATATTCTTAAAGTTGTATAATCACAGAGTTGTCTTGAAATTGAAAGGGAAACTTTGATATTAAAGCTTTCTTAAATTGTTGCTCAAACATTAAGGGAAATATTTCGCAACTTTTGAATATTCTTAAAAACCTTTATAGTACTTTCTCAGTGTTATTTCATTTTTAAAACATTTCATACTCATTTATATTGTAAGACTACTTGAAAGCAGATNTCTTTTTTGAAAATTTAAGCGATACATCGCTATATCGCGATGCAAAACTGACGATATATCACGATATATAATTTCTAATATCGTCCAGTCCTAAACAGGATACAATATCCAAAAAATCAAAAAGGATAAACGCTAAAACGAAATTATAGTGGAGGGACTGACATCGTCAGGAGGGGCATTACCATGCAGTCAGTGCAGGAGCAGTTTCAGCAGTTGGCAATATATTGCTGCTAACAACCCCAACTACATACCTGCCAACTTTTACGCATTTGGAGTAAAATTTTATTTCTATATTTAAAGTGGTAGTAAAATGTATGCTTTCTATGTATTCTTTGCATTTATAAACTTAATTTTTTATCTTTTTGACAACCACTATTTTTCAAAAATTAAGCATGTATATTTATATGTAATATTGATGTTGTACTCCTAAGCCAATAGTCACAGTCGCTAAGGGCTAACCTTATCAGATGAGGAAGTGAGATGCCCGCTTCGCGTGCAGGTACTTCGCATAACATTATATATCAAGATGTTGTACTCCTAAATCATGATTCGAGCTGCCCATGCAGCAAGCTATTTCAACCGTCAAATGCCTTAACCTCCTTCTCTTATCTACGCCAAAGGTTCCAGTGGCCCTAGGGCATAACGCAGATTGAGAGGTCTGGTGACCGCTGACGCGGTCAAACACAGATCGTCGTCATGTTGTACTCCTCATAAGCTTTTTCAAATTACAACGTATGTTTCTGCCCAAACTTGTAATTCAAATTCTATTTTACTACCACTGGGAAAAATTATCCTAGAAAGGATTAAAAGTATGCAGGTATGCAACTGCCCCCCCAAAAAAATAAAAGAAACCAACAGCAACTGGTAAACTTTGACTATCATGAGTTGACCTCGAGCAGCATCATGTCAAGTGATGTTAAATAAAATTCATCTCTAATCTGATGCGATGAACTACGAAAAACGAGTTTTGGTTAGCTTAATAACGAAAGGGAGACTAATAATAATAAATGTAAAAAAAAATCAAAATTGTTTTAGCTTTATTAATTGAAGAACTTAATAGAAGAACCTGGTAAGTGACATTTTCAGAGAGGCTGTAATCAGAATACGAAAAACTTTACTTTTCTTTTTTTTTATTTACCGCTTGCGATGAACGGGTAGTCAGCCAGTATTATATAATAATGTTTTACTAATAAGATAATATAATGAATTAACCATCATATTAAACGTTATAGCAAGTTTAAACTTCATTATTGTTCAACTCATTACCTAATTTTAAACAGTGTATTAATGTTCTTTTTTCCTCATTCAAAATTTATTTATTTTACGGTTTCTTCCTAACATTGCTTTGCTGTAGCGCATACATTTTTCAATTCTTTGAAATAAATCGTCTTCTTTCTTTGCAATTAAACTACTTGACGTTATTGATGTTTTAGATCGGTTTTAGTCACCACACTTAAAAGGCGTACAGTTCTTTACTTTATCAGAAAACTAAGAAGTGTTCTTTAAAAAAGAGAGATTAGAAAAGCGTTTTTTTTTTTTTTTTTTTTTTTTTTTTTTTTTTTTTTTTTTTTGCTTATAAAGCAACGAACAAAGATAACACACTACTTGAAAATAAATTTCGTAAACGAAAACGAAACCAGATATTATTCATTACAATAATAAAAGGAGAATAGCAAGTCTTTGTTTAATGGGGTACAAGAAAAAGAATTCACTTTATGAAAAATAGTTTTATTTACTTATTAAACAATTGTGAATACTGATATCTTGTATGATATTTTCTGATAACAATACAATTTTATTTGTTATGATTATCGTCTAATAGTTGTGTAAAAATTAATCAGTAATAGTTTATAACGATTCTAAGCATCGTTCAATATCTCGTAATTTTTTTTCTTAAGCAGTAATTACAATGTTTTAAATTAAACGGCGATTGAAATATTGTGCATTTGTCCCCATTATACCCATCTCCTCACTAACCGTTTACTCCTCTTCTTAGAATGTCCGAAAAATGATTAAGTGATTTAAAAACAATAAAATAGTATGGAAAATAAATGCATTTTGCGTTCAGATGTATCACTTTTGTAAAGTTGACAAACATTATAAATGTGAGCTTTGTAATGCTTTTGAAAGAAAGAATTCTTCAATATTTTTTAATTTCGACAGCTTGCTTTGAAATAATTTAGTTAACAAAATGAATTTGCTCTAAAAGAAGAGGAGTATGAAAGATCGTAGCAAAACTATTCAATAAATAGAGCAGAATTTTCAAACACTTAATTATAAATTCTTTGATGAAATTGTCAGATTTTTTTTCAAATTGAAGTCGCCTACTCTTTTCTAATTGTTCTAATGCATGAAAAAAAATGAGAATGCAAGCGGTATTTAAGCAGGTTAACCTCACCATCGCAGGTGTAAAGTTTAAATAAAGTTTAAAAAGGTGTAGTGAAATTTTCTTAAAAGTGATGCAACTCTTTTTTATTTTTCGATACCTTGACGTGTTTC